CGCCCTGCCGCGGGGACGGGCAGCGATGGGGAGCGAGATCGGGGTCTGGATATGTCCGTTTTGGGGCTCGGCCGGGAGAGGCAGGAGGGGCTGTTATGAGAGGAGGGGATGCTCGGGGACTGGTTTTTGAGGGGCACGTGAGGCTGTGGGACCAAGGCCATGAGGTGCGCTGTCCCCACTGCTGGCTGGGGACACCTGGGCTGCCGAAGACATCAAAGGCAGAAACATTTATTCCTCGTTCTCATCGCTGCCGCTTCGTGCTGGCATTTCAGGTGACCGAGCCACACTTCGGACCCCGGCCCAGTGTCCCCCTCCGCCCAGGAGGGCCACCAGCCCCCAGTATTGCCTCTGAGCACCACATTCCCACAGAGATGGTGGGAAGAAAAAAAAAACGGTACAAAATAAATAAAATTAAAAAAAAAAACCCAAACATTAGATCCCAGCTAGACCTGCCCAAAGACAGGGGGAATGCTACCCTGCAGCTTCTTCACTTTTTGGGCATATTTGGGGAGGGCAAAGCCCAGTTGGAGGAGATGCTCTCCCCAGCTCCTTGCAGAGCCACCCCACAGACACACAGATCCCCCAGTACATCCCAGCGGCAGTGCTGGGACCCCGGCAGAGGCCGGGCAGCAGACGGGACATCGCACAAGAGCAATGTCCTATTTATACACTGGTGGTTTGAAGGACTTGCGCGGTGTCCCTGACCTCCCCGCCTCGCCGCCGGTCCTCAGACATTCCAGGGCTGCTTGCTGGAGCTGTTTAATGAAGCAACCAACCTTGGGGAGGGAGGTTACCCCCCCCGGGGGGGGGTTGAAAGCACCTGCCAAATTGCGAGGAACCCAAAGGGACACTTTGCCAAGGACACCGGGTGCCCGGCTCCTGCTCAGGAACCTCCACACCTTTCTTTTGCTCAACACAGCCAGCGCATCCAGGCACCTTTCGGAGGAGATGGGGCATGTCCAGGAGCCTGGGCACGGTGTCACCTTCGTGGATGGGTCAGGGAGACAACTGCTGTGAGCACCGAGGGCTTGAGTCTTATCTCATGGATGCATTTTCTAGATTTCTTAAGAAAACACCCCCAGAAAAAAAGCAGAAGCCCATCCCAATGTGCAATCACATCTCCCCTGCTTTCAAGGAGCACCCTCAGGACAGCAGCTCCACCGACCCGGCAATGGAGGAACCCCAAACCCTGTCTGACGGTGAGAAGCCCCGGCTGGGGGGCATCCTGGGGGGCATCAAGCAGAGTGTGGCCAGCAGGTGGAGGGAGGTCATCCTCCCCCTCTGCTCTGCCCCAGTGAGGCCACATCTGGAGCACTGTGTCCAGTTCGGGGCTCCCCGGGTCAAGAAGGACTGGGAACTGCTGGAGAGGGTCCAGCAAAGGGCTACAAAGACGATTAGGAGAATGGAGCATCTTTCTGATGAGGAAAGGCTGAGGGACGTGGGGCTGTTCAGTCTGGAGAAGAGAAGACTGAGGGGGATCTTATCAATGCAGATAAATACCCAAAGGGAGGGTGCCGGGGGGATGGGAACAGTCTGTTCCAGTGGTGCCCAGTGACAGGACAAGAGGGAACGGGCACAAACGTGACCATCGGCAGTTCCATCTCCACCTGAGGAGGGCCTTCTCTGCTGTGAGGGCGGCAGAGCAGTGGCACAGGCTGCCCAGAGAGGTGGGGGAGTCTCCCCCTCTGGAGCCATCCCAAACCCGCCTGGACGCCGTCCTGTGCCACTGCTGGAGGTGCCCCTGCTCTGGCGGGGGGTGGGATGGGGGAGCTCCAGAGGGCCCTTCCAGCCCTCACCAGTCTGGGGTGCTGTGGTTCTGTGATCTGCCTCGGGAAGCGGGAGGGGAGGGCAGGATCCGTCCCCGGGTGCCGCAGCCGCAGACAAGAAGTCCCGTGGCGGAGGGATGGTTGGAGTCCTTTTGCCAGGCAGGAGAAAGGCGGCTGCTGGAGATCAGACTTGGAGCCACCTCCTCTTCCCCCACGGGGTCAGGGACGTCTGCCAGGGGATTCTTATCCCTCCCCCAGCATCTGCCCGGGCTGTAGCATCGCTGGCACCCAGGAGCAGGAGGACAACAGCCCGGCATGTCCCGCTTGGGGCTCCCCTGGGCACAAGGGGGTCCTGGCAGCTCCGGCAAGCCCTGGCATCAGGCACGTTCCCCCACAGGGGTCTGCAGCCAAAAGCCAGCCTTGCTCCCGCTTGACGGGTGTGCTCGTTGCGTGGGTCGGGAAAGAAAACCCTCCCAGGGAGCCCCACCCGCTGCCCGGACTGCGCACGATGCCACGGGGATGGGCTGGACCAGTGGCACGTGGGCTACTGGCACGGTGGAACAGGGAGAAGGGCTGCGCCTGGGCTTTTGGTAGGACATCAGTCCGTGGTCACAGGGTA